AAAACTATATTTTTACTTACTTCCAACAACAACAGAAACATTATACCCATGTTTCCATGACGATCCACACCAGTAGGTCCCTTGGCTTTTGGTGCTGACATTGTTTATTCGAAGTATTAATGTACTGTTTACAAGATGTGTGTTTCCATGGAGACTACTGCTGTCAAACCACCATGTGGCATTGTGGGTATAGTTACATCTTAATTCCAAATCAGTCCCTATCAAAACAGCTATAAAAAATAATAGTTGATTAATGATTGTATTTATAAGTAAAAAAAGTGGATGGGTGAATGGATGGAAAAAGGGATAGAAAAGGGATGGATGGAATGCATGATTAACATGTATAAAGAACTAGTGGACGAAAAGGCGAGATGATGAGAAATAAAGTACGTAAAACTCAGGATGATTGAAAAAGTCGTACTTTATACAAAGTCCAATGGTCTGGTACTTAAAACATCAGCTGTTTTAAATCGAAAAATCGAAAAATACAATCATCACACTTAAGATTAAACAACGCTATATTTTTATCAACAGAAGGAATGTAGTGTTTTTGTTTTACTATCAAAGATCTTCAGTCATAAACATTTTTCGACCATTCTCTTGGCGCGCCTTCTCAGAAAAGGCTTCGATCAAGCTTACCTTTCTTGCTGGATGAGGCGAAAGCCATCTCGCCAAGCGATAATACCACCAAAACTATCCATTGTATAATTCGTAAGAGACGATTCATTATTTTAGAAGGATTGATCACATTTTACTAGAAGAAGCGTTGATCAATGAAACCATATCATGCCGATCATGCTAGAAAAGTCATCAATTCTTGGAAGTCATCACAGCTTTAAACAGGTCTTTATAACAAAATTCTCTGAGATCAAGTCGGAAAATCAATTTTAGGATAATAAGAAGGAGGAACTACATTGTTGTGGTACTTCAGAGGTTACAGACACTTAAATCTCGCCTGGATTTGATCGAAGAAGCCCTTCAATGAAGTATAAACATGGCACACAGAGATCAACTTTCACTTTCGTCTACAAACACCACAGGGAGCCCAATGATGAAAATCTTAAAAATATTCATTGTTGGTGCGAGAGGCTGCACAACTTTTTCTTAAGATCCCGAGTAAACTTTTTAATGAAAATACAAAACTTTTAGGTAAAAATCCATCTTTTTCATGGCAAATCTCGGCCTTCGATTCAGCGTCCTAAAAGAACGTCCTAGACAAGTGACGTCATTTCTAAGAACTGCATGTATTCGCCGTCGAGCGACCGTCGAGCCTTTTTATTTAGTGAGCTTGTTGTCGGAACCCCAGAGAGAATGTAAGAAGTACCGCTTAAAGTTGTAATTTAATGGATTCTGATAAGAGCGATTGCTTGGAGAAGGAGGACAAAGAAGAGTCACAACATGCTCCTAAGTCAGGAAAAAAGAAGAAAAAGAAAAAGAAGAAAAAATCAACAACTTCATTTGAGGAATCGACATTAGGCAATTCAGAATCAGACCCAGCAAGTCAACGATGCACTGAAAATGTTCTGTCTTGCTGTCAAATCACTCCTGAAGAAAAATCAGAGTTGAATGTTTCGCATTCTGATGAAAACAGCTCTTTACTTCCTTCAAAGAGCGAAGAAACGCCAACTAAAGAGATCAAAAATGCGTTCGAGCGCGTCACTAGCACTGACAGCCAAGACAAATCAAATCCAACGAGAGAAACGCTCACTAAGGACAAAAGAAAGAAGAGAAACAAAAAGAGCAATCCCGAAGCTAAAGAGGTCAGACAGGTTTTATTAGCAGAGAAATATTCCGAGTCTAAAGTTCCAGAAGAAGGAGAAAGGGTAAAAAGTTGGGAAGAATCATGTAGCGCTGCCAAGAAACCTCCCGAAAAAAGTTCTAGTTCTCCAGCTTCTGATCGCAAAAAAAAGAGGAAGAAGAAAGCTGGCTTTCTTCTATCAGATGTGGATTTAACTGAGCCGCAAAATGATTCAGATAAAGAGAAAAAAGATTTGGCCAAATCGTCATCAGAAAAGGACGCGAAAAAGCTTCGTGACTCAGTTGAGCGTGAAAGCGACTTCAAAACCTTTAACAAGGACACATCATTGCTACAGACAGAAATCAAAGAAAAGTAAGCTTCTTTCATTGTGTTTTTCAGGGGACTTAAGTGAAAGATTTTGGGGTT